AGCTAGACTTTACATTTAAAGCATCTCTCTTTTTCTTTCTCCGTGAATGTTTGTTTGCAGTTTAATGTGTGTCTTATGAGGAGAAAGCTAACTATGCAGAAGAGCTGTGAAACCAAACACCGCAGGTAGGAGGTGTTGCTTCCAAGCCTGCAGCTTCTCAAAAAAGCCAATCTGTCCCTTGCCGTCACCGCCGCGTGAAGCTGTCCTGGCCTGGGGGCGCCAGGCCGGGCCGTGCTGAGCCGGGAGCAGCTGCCGGCCCCCAGAGAAGGAGACTCCACAAAGGAGGAGCCTGGAGCAGCTCCAGGTCTCGTTCCATTTTTTGGAGCGTTTAGGTGTGGCACAGCTCAGGTATTCCCATTAAGGTGAAAATATTTCTGCTCTAAAGCAAGGCTTGTGTTTCAAATATGCATTTTTCACTAGGCAACTGAGGGGAATGTTTTCCAAGCTATTCCATGCCACGCTGCTGCTTTGTGTAAGTGAGAACTCCAGCACCTGCGCTCTGGAAACGTGCCCTAGAACACAGGGTTTGCACTGAATAAGACAGCAACCATTAGCTTGTGCCTGCTAATACCAGCAGTATAAATTACCTGGTGAATCTTAGCGAACTGTAGACAAACTTTAGAATGACTAGTGTGAATAAAATGCCACATAAATCACAGGAAATGTGTTTGAGGGGGTTTGGCTATGTAGACCTAGCAAACCCATGTGATATTGGTCGGTATCTTCTCATGCTTCTCTTGCTTGAGTGATGCCTTATTGCGGTTGGGTTGGATGGAGAAACCATGTTAGGTAGAGGCGGTGTTTAGTGCTGCTCCTGTTGGAGTGAAAATATCCGTGTAACGGATCTGCTTTTCACTGTGCCTTCCCTTTCATGTGTCCCTGCAACACAAAAGGCCGCTCCGCTGGGCTGAGCGGTGTCCTGGATGTGGCTTCGCCTGGATTTCAAATGCAGAGAGTCTTCCTGCCCTCATTAGAGCCGGTTTTCATATCGGGAAGGCCTCAGGGATATTGACAGGCACCTGAAATGGGTGTAGTGTTTTGTAAATGGAAGCAGCGGAGCTCACAGTGTGGACGTGATGGACGTTTTTGGCAGGATGCAGCTTTCGTGAGCAGGGTCTCCCTGTGCAAGGTGGCCTGTGCTCTGCTCGTCTGCTCCTTGTGCGCTGGCTTTGCTTTCCTCCCGTGGGGAGCTGCTTTCTGCTGCTCCCTCCCTGCCATCGCCATGAAATGGGTGGGAAGGAGAGCGGATCAGGATTCCAAGCTGTGCCTCGCCATGGGACTGTATAAACCTTGGGTGAAAAGATGGAGCGTGCAACCAGCGACCCCCTGAAAACAAGCCGTGTTTCCGAAGGGAAACGTTGGCTTCTAACATCAATGATATAATTGGTTGTTCTTTATCATATCCCGGTGGAAAAGGTAGAGAAAACGCATATGGCTCTGACAGGCTGTGGTTGCGTAGCAACAGGGACACCGTGCTGCCGGTTGTAGCTGTGCGGGTGTTGCAGGCCGCGGGCAGCCGGCGGCGGGGCTGGGGCGGGCAGGGCGGGGCCCCGGCCC